GTAGTTTAGACATAGCCAATGAGGAGAAAGATACTATAGTAAATTGTATTGTTCCTTAATAACCCACAGTGTTCTATGATCAGACTGATCTGAGGAAAAAATGTATCCTATAGATAATATGAGGGTCTCGCTGGAACAAACAACTAAACATCCAGACTTGAAGGATGTCAATCAACGGGAATCTATTCTCATTTTTTCTAGAGTGCATATCATCATAGTCAGTTCTTCATATCTGGCAAAAATTTATTGGAGTCAGGTTGGCATTTTGCCTGAGAAAATCCTGAGTAAAATGTCAATTTTAAAATAATATAGAAAGCCCTCCTTAATTTTTGGTGAATGAACGGAAATGGGAAAGTGATTAAAATGCACTTTGATGTCATGCTGAGCTATAGCTTGTGTCCACCATTGGACTTTTTAAATACGTATTAAAGATGAGTCATAGCAAAGGGAGATACGTGAGTTTAAACATCTGGATAACTGGGGCATGGAATTTAGATCAGGCAATGATGCCCATGATGTGAGAGAAAGCAGGAAAAAAAGGAATATACTTCTTGACATTTTAAATTGTTTAATTTAAGCGGTAGCTGGAGTTGCTGAGTATTAAGTAGATGTTAGAAACTGGTATTTTTACTGTGTAGGGCATTAGTGAGAACATTTCAAAAATATTTTGTCCAGTTTTGACATGAACACTTTACATAAATGTTGACAAATTAAAATGGTTTGGAAAATAGCTATAAGGTTAGGGGGAAAAGTAAATTATAGTGAGAGATTAAAGGAGTTCAGTCTGTTGAGGTTATCTAAAGAGGAGGATACAAGATAACTTGGCCACTGTCTATAAATACCTCTTACATCCAGAGTAGCCTGCCAGCTCCACTGCTTCCCTTCTCCTGTGAAGCTTAAAGCAGCAGGCTTCTGGAAAAGGGCTTGTGGCACATGGAGAGATTTGCGAACTCCATGCCATACAACCTCAGCAGAAGTTGACACTTTCCAACAACAAACTGCCACTAAGGAGTCTGCAGTTATGAAAACACACAGAAGTTTAGCACACCTTACAAGATCATGCCCACACTTAGCATCTGCTCCCGGTCAAGTGAGGCAATGAAGAGGAAACTGATCTCTTGCACTCTCTCCAGCAAGTGGCCTTTGCCGCTCACACACATCTCCCCCGACACCCGCCTTCTCCAGTGGGCAGGGATGGAAGTTCTCTCTCTGTGGGATGCTGCCAGTGATGGACCCAGTCTGTGCAGGACATGGAAGGAAGCTGAGCTGCCCTGTCTCCCCCTACTGCCTGCAAGCCTTTGGCCTGACCTTCCCATGCCTGCTTGTCCCTGGGCCATGGGTGTAGCAATGCTTCCTGGGCTGTCCATGCCCCTGCAGGAAAGTGCCTGCTGTCTAGACAACAGATGGCCTTGCTTGAAGCACATCGCCATAGTCTGAACTGAGACCTTCAGCGTTGGCTCAGAGACTAGGGCTATGCTTCATGCACAGTGTCTCCTGGGAGGACTGCCCGTGTAACTTTTCTTCATAGCTGGGTTAGCTGTGAGTGTGGTGCACCCACCCTCTCCCGTGCCATCTTCCCTACTTCACGGGATATGCAGGAGGAAACATACCTGGGAAGACATAATCAGGGAGCAGATGGCCTGCCTACAGTCCCTGATCTGGGGGCTTGATGAGCACTGGGAGTGGGCCACTGACAGGGAGCAGCAGAAAGTCACCTGGGACCAGGTGGCATGCCAGCATGAAGCCATGTGCTCCTCCCTCACCTCAGTGATGGAGCGCACAGCTTTGTGCATGAAACAGGCCACCAGCCACCTTCCTGCCCCTCCCCGCCTGTGGCTTCACTTCCTAGCCCTCTCTCTCTTCCCTCCTCCCTCCCCCCGGGGCCATGGCGGCCTTAGAACATGGGGCAGTGGGACTCTTGGGAAACCAAAGCCCCCTGAGCTACTTGAGGCAGGCGCCAGTCCCAGCCCCATCCCTGAGTTCCCTTTCCCCCACCACTTCCTTCACCTATTCCAGGTTCTTTTCCCAGTCCTTCCTCTGTTGTATATCCACCCAAATAAACAGTTTTGTTTTTTCACGGAAAGAGGATTTTTATTTGCTCTTCAGGGGAGGGGGAAGGTGGGAAGAAAGGGCAGGGGAAGAGAGGAGTGGGGGAGGAAAGGCACAGACAAGGAATGCAGGGTCCCCTTCTGGAGAGGCATGGGGGAGTCTCACAGTTGGCCTTGGCTGAAACCCTCCCTCAAGGCCTCCCTGATGAGCACATCCCCTTGATGTGCTCACTGAATGGCACTAGTGTCCAGCTGCTCATAGGCCCTGGCTGGCTGTTCAGCTTCTGCCCACTATACTGGCAGTAAAGTCTCACACAGGTTGTAGAGCACATAGCAAGTGAGGCCACCATCATGAAAGGGACATTGCACTCGCTGAGGTCCAGATGGATGAGGAAACTCTTGAACCCCCCCTTTAAGTGGGCAAAGGCATAGTCCAATACCATGCGGCTGCTGCTCGGTCTGGTGTTGAAGTGCTCCTTGGTGGGGCCCAGGCTGCCTGTGTAGGGCTTCATGAGCCAGGGAAGCAGGGGGTAGGCTGTGTCACCCAGAATACAGATGGAGCATGTCCACGTCCCTGACTTAGATGGTGCAGTCAGGGAAAGAAGTGCTGGCTGCATCTTTCAGAACAGTCATGAGTTGTGGAAGATATGGGCACCATGTGCCTTCCCTGACCACCCAGCATTGATGTTGGTGAAGCATTCCTTGTGATCCACAGGGGCCTGTAGCACCATGGAGAAATACCCCTTCCTGTTGATGTAGTCAGAGGCACAGTGGTCAGGAGCCAGGATGGGGATGTGTGTGCCATCTATGGCCCCTCAGCAGTTGGAAAAGTCCATGGTGACAAAGCCATCAATGATGCTGTCCACATTCCCCAGACTGACAACCTTCTATACAAGCATGTGGTTGATGGCCTTGGCTACTTACAGGAGCATGGCCCCGACTGTGGATTTCCCCACACCAAAATGGTTCCCAACCGAGCAGTAGCTGTCCAGCATGGTGAGCGTCCACAGGGCAATGGCAATCTGCTTCTGGAGGGGGGTAAAGGTTGCATGTGGGTGTCCTGTCACGTGAGGGCAGGGGCGAGCCACTCACAGAGCTCCAGGAAGGTGGCCTTCCACATATGGAAATTCGGGAGCTACTGCTGGTCATCCCACTGCTGCAGGACGATGCAGTTCTACCAATCTGATTTCCCACTGCCAAAAGCAGCATTCTACAGTGTCCAGAAGTTTGAGGGTCATTTGCAGTGGCAGGAGCGCCACAACCTGGGTGATGAGGGTCTCCGGTCCGAACCGGTCATCTTTCTGCTGGAGCAGCATGTGGGTAGTCTGGACTAACTGCACCATGAGGTGCAGCATGAGCGTTGTGAGCTTGGCACTTCTTTGCAGCAGCTCTGATTCCATGTTGTGAGTGCTGTGGTGTAAACAAGGGGGACCAGAGCACACCATGTCTGTTTTGTGTCCTGCAAGAGGGGAGGCAATGGTGTGTGAGATGCAGCCGTAAAGAGGAGCCCCTGAAAGCCCACATTGTAGCTTTCGATCAGGCAGCCATAGGAAGGCTGCTTCCAGGGCTCTAAGTCTGAAGCAGGCTCCGATATGTGTGGATGCACTATTTCAAAATAGTGACCATATAGCTAACTGATCTGGACAGTGGCAAAGTTTATCCTGGCATAGGTTTCCATGGTTGCATAGGATCACTGTTATGGATCTTATGACATGGATATCTGGTCATAAGATCCATAACAGTGGAGAAAAGGTTGTCATAGCAATCAACTGATCCCTGCTTGCTAAAATGTCTATTTTGAGGAGGCTGCTGCCTAAACTAATTTAGAGCTATCAATAGATACTCTGTCCTTAGCTGCATCAAGTACAGCATTGTATATATGCTGGGATCATAATGTTTTCTATTTCACTAAATTATAAATCCTGGAAACTCAAAATGTAACCTTTCTGGCAGCTGAAGTTGGCAATGAAATGAGTCAGGTTCAATATCTAGGGTTCCTTTTCAACAGTAAAGGGCAGAACTGGCTTGAGCCCTCACGTGAGATAATTGCACACCACCCACAAGGTGGATCTAAGAGGCAATGTCTCCCCTCTTGCAAGGACAGAGCCTGAGTGTAAAAAGGAAACATTTAATAAAAAAGAAAGAAGTAACCCAGCACTATTTTGGGAAAATATAACAAACAAGGTTCATAAGCAATAAACCATGAGCAAAACCCATACCCCAGAATACTTTGGGTAGTGTCTTATGCCTCAGGTATTAAGTCCAAAACCCCAAAGTTCTTTTATGGCATCCCTCCTTTCTCTCACACTCCCCCACTGCACACCACTCACAGTTCTTGTCAGTGGAGGTCCAGAGTTCAGGGAAGACCAAGAGTTCAAGGGTGCATTTGCATGAGCTCACTCCCAACCCTAGTTCCAGTGTAATCTTCCCCTGACCAGCTGCTCATCTGAAAGGTCTTAAGGTCCTACA